TTACGGACGGCGCACGGCGCACGGCGCACGGCGCACGGCGGACGACGACGGACGAAGCATGATGACTATAGGTCATCGGACCCTTCGGGTCCAGATGACCTAAAAATTAATAAATCATCTCTTTCCTTTCTTTAAAAAAAAATCAAATCCCAAATATTTTTCTCATTGGTGTGATTAAAACATGAGAAGATCAGACTATTTATGCTATGATGGATTTTGGGACCAAAGCGAAAAAATATGATTTGGTCAGAACAATCTCTGGATCACTTCATTCAGACCAAATCTGGTTGAAATCTAACCATGCATTAAGAAGGAGTAGCATTTTGAAGCAAAATATTGTCTAACTTCCTCTTTTGGAGCCCCGCCCCCGGGTCCAAAGGCGTTGAATCAAATTTCTGAATCTAGGAATTATTTGCTAACCCCTGCTGATGTTACAGACAAAATTTGAATGAAATCTATTCAAGCATTACAGAAGAGTAGCATTTCGAAGCCAAGTATTGTCTAACTACCGTTATGGGGCCCCATCCCCAGGTCTCTAGGAGCTGAATCAAATTTCAGAATTTAAGAAATAATCCCCCAACCCCATTGATGTTTCAGACCAAATTTGGTTGAAATCCACCAAGGCATTAAGCAGGAGAAGTGTTTTAAAGGAAAAATTTATGGATAACGAACGGCGGACGGCGCATGATGCCGGACGATACACAATAGCAATAGGTCATCTTAACCTTTCATGTCAGATAGCCTCAAAATTACAGTGAAGAAAAAAAAAGTATAAACTGAGAAGTCGAGTAAAAACTTATCGGGTTTCATTAAAGGGTGGCTGTAAAGTTTACCGCCAACAAATTGGAGCCTTTAATATTTTAAATATGAAAATATTCCTGCGTAAATATCAAGAAGCAGATGACCATTGAAATTATTTCATCCTTTTTTAGTATTCTCCCTTTGTCCATCATTACGCAAAAACTCAAGTTTCTTACATAATAAGAAGTATCAATCAGAGTGCATTATGGTACCCCAATTATGTGTTATGACTATTACGGAATGACAAATATGGTAGAGACTAGGGAAGTACAGTTCAAGAAGCGAAGTAAGATGTACTGGAAAAAGTCTGAAATACTCATTGATATGGCTGATTATACATTTTTCCTTTTATTCATTATTCTTGTTATAATGTTACTTACCACATGACAGCATGAAATATATTGTGGTATAATGTTAAAACACACTTATCTACAAAGGCAAAAGATGTGTGTTGTGGGTTTTTTGTTGGGAAAAGTCAGGATAACTTGTCGGAGTCTTCCCTAGGAAGAGATGTTATGGGATTGGAATCGGACAATGACAAAATGTCCGTTTATATATCCTGGAATAATGAACCATTCACAGTGACATTTGCAGACAAAGCTGTCGATTGTGGCTTCAAGAATAATAAAGAAGAGGCATAATAAATATGTCATGAATAAAATACTGTATAACTAATATAAAGTGTTTTATTTGTTTGTTTTAAACTCAATGTTTTAGTGAAAAACAAATTTGAGATTTGACAAGAAAAAGGCTGATACACCTATGGCCCTAGTTTTGACTCTTTCACGCTTGCTTTAGCTTGTCATGGCTAAAATTTCACTCAGAACGGTTGGGCATACTGGTTACACCTTAAAATGACAATTTTAGAGAAGATATTTGAAAAGAAATAAAATGATGCACCCTCAACATTGTAAATGTAACATACTTATATGACCTGGCTAAGCATGCAGTTTATTATCCTGAAAAATGTTAATGTAACCTCTTCATTTTCACAAAATCATATTCCATGAAGAGCAATTAAAATGTCTTTAATGGACAACCAAGTTCAAAAACATTTCTCTGTTAAAACAATTTTGAATTTCCTTTTTTTTTCTCCTTCTCTTTAATTGGTTAAGTGTATAATCAAGTGAACTAATTTTTAAATCATAAATCCAATGATCTGACAATAGATCAGTGTGTGTTAATTCTATTGTAAAAGTAAGCAACAACCTGATGGCTCTTTAACAACATGATATATGTCATCTATGTAATTCTAAAGGTCATGCTTGGTCAAGGGTAGCTTTGCATAGTTCACACTAGGTCTAGTCTAACTTCAGATACAAAAGTGTTTTATTCAAGACAGTCTACAATTTAATTATCATGTTGTAGGACCACAATATTTGGAACCTATATATACCATTTCTCATGATATAACACATTCTAATATCATTATTAAGTGTTACTTTCACAATCCATCCATCACGGCCTGCTGACCATCCTTTGTATGGTACCTAAATCCATTGACCTGTGATGGCCTGTGATTGAATATATTTTAGACTCCCTCTATTCCACTTATTTGCTTTTATATAAAAGATAAGGAGCTAACTGACTCTCCTTTATCTAAAGATGCTTTAGGCTACATTGGGTAAGAATCCTGGCATTTCTATAGAAGGAGAATGATTTTCTAAAATTTCCTCTGTATTACCCTATTGGTCCCCACCCCTACTGTCCCAAGAGGTGGCTTATACAATTTGATTTTACTCTGCTAAAAGATGCTTCAGACTAAATTGGGACAGAATCTTGCCATTCCTACAAAAGAAGGATTTTTAAGAATTTGTTCTATTTCCCCAAATGGACTTTTTTCCTCCAATCACAAGTGAGCCTAGCTTTACTGTTTACATAAAATTTGTTTCCTTATACCCAAGATGCCTTATATTAATCTAGGATAGAATTTAGACATTGCTAAAAAAAGATGGCTTTTAAAGGATTTGCTGAATTTTCCATTTGGGTCTCACTCCTCAAACACGAGGAAGTTTCACCTACCGTTTATACAAAAATGAGTCCCTTTCCCTCAAGGATGCTTCCAACCAAATTTGGTCTAAATCCACTCTGTTGTTCATGACTAGTATCAATCGATAGAAAAAGTTGATGAATGAACAAAGGTAACACAGTTGACTTGGGCCAGGTGAGCTAAAAATCAACATTATCTTACAAGTTGCATGCAGGAACAGGCTGCTATGAAATTCATGTGAGAAAAAAATGCATCTCAAATCAGATCAATGATTTATTCTGTTTAGTTTATTTCTATCCTCTTGAATTTCAGACATTGTAGGATACCACCACTAGTGAGCTGTTCTATTACAGTAAAGTTGTACAAACAGGTACATTTGTACTTCATTAACATTAGCATAAAAAGTTGGTTCTTTAATGGAGTAGCATAAGCAAAGTTGAGGCCTTCAAATGGGTGATTTATTAACTTGCACAGCAGGTAAAAATGGCAATGAACAGCAACATAAGTGTAAATCAAACCATGAGATCAATAGCACAGTGTTTGTCATACCACATCATAAAAAATGAATTATCAATTATATATACGTTACATTACAGGTATATCAGAAACATGATATGTGCTGCTATGTACCAGATACACATTCATGTAAATGTGTTTACTACAGAAAAAATCTTTCCTACTTATATTGAACCATGACATAATTTTGAAAAGTAAAGCTATTTTGAAAGCACTGATGCATATATGACATGACTTTATAACTTTAATCAAAATAATTAACTCAAAAGATTATTAAAAACATCTTACAGAGTAATAACATATCTGACTTCAGCTTCATTTCAATCTATGCCAATTCTTAAAAATATTTCTCTCAGTATTTTGTGTTAAGGATACATTTGTTACCGGGTATTCAAATATTTTCTTTGAATCAATATTACCTATACAGTAACCACAATACCAATATTTTTTCTTTAAATTACTGTATATGTGCTCACAAAATCATCTTCCCCAACAAATGACCAAATCATTCTCTGTATATTACTTAGACTGAAGACTGTAAGTTCAAGACAGACATGTATGCAAGTCCAAAACAATAGAACCTCAATCAATAATGCATGTATAAAGTACAAAAGAAATAAGGGTCTATCTTTTTCAAGTAGTGTCTGCTTGAAGTTATTATCTGGTTAGGATACTCCTTTTGTAGTGTACCTGAGCAAGTGGTTTGTGTGCAAAATGCCCCACTTTGTAAATGTTAATACCTTGGGTGTGTATTGCTATCAATATAGTATTCTTGGCTCCCGATAGTGATACACACATGGGTTTTTTTCATTAAACATGTAACCTAAAATGATTTTGCATGAAAACTTCAATCTCATAAATTTTAATACATGTGACTCGATCATGAATAACCAATGAATTTGTATGATAAGCACAGCACGGATTTAAATGTCTTCTAGAGTGGAATAGCTTGTATAGTAAGTCTTTTTTTTCCAAATTGGCAACGATCAGTATTCTCACTAAGATTTAAAACAAGTGGTTGATTTTCTTCAAATTTTGGTGGTATTTCTGTGTAATTATTTGTTTTGTTTAAAAAATATCACAGGTTGGTAGAAAATATTGGTTACAAAAGTTAGCACTATCAATTTGAAAATTATTATGCTTTCAACTACTGTTTATTTTGAAAACTTCAGTGAAGTAATTTTGGAGAAAACTAGTATATAAAGCAAAGCAAGTTAAAAAGATGTTTTACTTTGTAGTTTTACAAGAAGATATAGACTGTACATGTATCTGATACAGCATCTACTGCATATATTTTATAAATCATCTCTGTAGCATTCTCTTTTTTGTCTAATTTGATATATATCTATCTTGTCATTATTTTTCCTATTACAATGAATATGTTTTTTTGTACTGTTACAGCAATATATGGACTTTTGAAATAAACACATATCTATTATATGGTTTACTTATATTTTAATTCAGCATCATATGACAACAAGCGAGTCTACTTTTATCTTTGAAATTAACAGCACACCAAAAACATAGCGGCCAAATTAACTAGTTACAGTTAGCATTTGAGTTATTTGATTTTTAGTACCAAAAAACATCCTATTATCATATAGTGAGTGACTTTCCAAAATCAAATCTGTGTACGAAAAATGCCAAATGTATTAAATACAATAAAAAAAACAGATAAAAATGAAAAACTTACTTCGATCCATTTTCATCAACGACTTGAATGAAGAAATATCTCACAGGTAGAACAAGTCTTGAGTTTAGCCCGGGGCCCCATACCATTGTTTTAGAGATATCGACTGGAACACTTTCACTTGTCGCAGCAGACGACAAAACCATCGTTTGTACCAAAACGAGAAATATCCATGTCAGCGACTTAATTTTGCCAGAGAATACCAAGGAATTAATTGCAACACAGTGTAAAAACATTGTAAAATTTAGCAAGTACTTGAAAATCCATCAAATTACACCGAATACGTTCAGCGTTTGCTTTCATACCCAATGTCAGTTCAACTAATGTGTGTGTTTACCGGTTCTAGTAGGACAATACATGGTTGGTGAGGTGTGACCCATGTGCTTCTAAACACTTTACGTCAACATCCGGTAGTTCAATGTATTATTTTTCTCGTTATTATTTACTTCTGACACAAATTCTTGCAAAAGTTATGCATTGAATTCAATACAAATATATACAATTATCTAAAATTGTTGTTCTGCTTTAAATTCAATTACAATGTATTAGGATTTTAATGTGTAATAGAAGATAAATAATAAATCTATAGGGGAGGTTGTAGCATTCACTAAATAGCTTTTGAAGATCATGCGCAGTATCGTTCTTTCTCGCAATTTACCGTCTTGGACGCCATTATCGTTCCCCGAGACACAGACGTGATTTCGTGAAAATTTTTGAGTAGTAAAGCGCCAAAGCAGAAAGTAAGTGATTTTGGGATCAACTTTTACTTGACCTGTGTGCTTAACGTGAATGACAGTTCACACAGGCGGTAGGAATGACGATAATTAACTCAAAATCACATAATACAAACGGATCTGGAAACATTTTGTCATTCAAACATTGTTTTGACAAGCTGAGCGTGGTTACGACGTAAAAATCGTCTGCTAGCAATGATATCATAGAATTGGTTTTGTTTATAACATCTTTATGGCCATTGTATCGCCTGTGCAAGTTAAGATTGGTATCACATGTACTTAAAATAGTGCCTTTCATTATTAAGGAAATACGTGCCCGCTGTCATCGACTGACAACCTCTAGAAGAGCCGGCGCACAAGTGCTTGTTTATAAATTAGATGGTTTAGACTTAGTTAATGACTGTGATTGTTGGGTCAGAATAGTAGTACTCGATTCCACATTCATTTTGGCCACTGTTCCACCCCAAACCCTAATCATTTATCTATACTAGATCATTTAATCTTCGGAATCCGGAAACTTGACTGAAACACTCGTCCGTCGGACTGGTGCTTTGCTATAAAGTACTCGTCCGTATGAGAAATTCATTTGTTCGAAACAATAACACTTGAAATTTTCAAAACCATGCATATGGCGCTCATACATCGTGTATCAGGCTTTATATCAATCAAGTTTTGTTGTGAATCAGTCAACATTTTACTAAAAATTTTACCAACACTGGCAACAGTAAGTGTACAACACAACTTCATGAACAACCAATGATAGAGCTAAATAACATCGCGTAAATATCACAGAGGAGGCAATCTTTCTTGACAAGTTGTGATATTTACTTGAGATCCAAAGAAGGCATATGGAACATGTAAGACATTTGTTAAAGATCATTTGTATTGTTTTCTTTCAAGTATATATCTTTCCTTCAATTTGTGTTGACCAGTAGGCCAAAAATTTCAGTCTAGCAAACTATAAGGTCTGACAAGGTTTGTGAGGCAAATAAACATGCATATTTTGTTTTGAAATGATTCCAAGATTTGCGGGTATGTTGCAGGAATCATTGTTTAATTCACTACATCCATGGTGGATGCATTTCTACCACTTTATGAACAAGTCGTTTCTGTCTCTAAAATGGGTTAGTGAATAAAAATGTAAATATCAATAATAGCATAATGAATGGGAATATTGACACTTAAGAGTCATTTCCATTCAGATAACTTCTGATGCCCCCTTTATTTTACTTACTGATAACTCAGAAACACTGGGGCTAACAGATATATGTATCATTATCACAATCAATTACAAGTAAACCTATTGCAGACATACAAAATGGCCACAGATGATCCAGGGGCAGACGACTTGACAATTACGTCTCAGACAGGTATGGTTGTTGACACTATCACTCTATCTGATGGGGTACAGAACATGGGAGACCAAGGAATCATCAGTGTTACAGTGGATGCTTCGTCACTCCATGGCATTCCAGGACTTACAACACATACAGGCAGCAAGTATCTCTTCCGTCATTTTCAGATGTGATGATGCTATCTTTTATTATTGAAAAATACCAATAAGGTATTTTGATAGCTTATTATTCAGGTTTAGAAGGCACTGGAGCACCTGCAATTTTTGATATATAGGTAGGTTTGGCTACAGTCAAATCTAACTATATATTCATGGAGAGAACGGGTGAGATAAGTCGGGTTTCTTTCGTGCAGATTGGAAAAATGGGATGACAAATCAAGGAAGTCAGTGAAATGAATATTTTTTATCTTTTCACCCATTTTTGGGACAAATTTTGAGAATTTCATTGTTGGTACTTTTCGAGTATCCACATACACTTCTAATTTAGTAATGGACTCTGTAGCTTGTCATTTTTTTATTGTGTTGTCTGCAGAGAAGCATCCCTTTTATGCAGATTTTGGCCACTAGTGTGCTTCTAGCATGAAGTTTTTGTGACATAAAAATGGCAATCTGCTATAAATTGGAATGTTGTTGTGGAACAAGTGAAATTTGTGAAACTCAACCTACTCAACGAAAATATTGTTCTATAACATAATCTTTTGTTTTGCTGACTTGATAGATTTGTCATCCAATTTTTTCAATGTGCACACCATAATGGCAACCAGGTATGGCTCATTTGTTTACATTTTATCAATATCTGTATAGTCAGATTTGAATATATAGCTGTATTTGCAGATGTTCCACTACCTCTTTAAAGTCAATGAACAGTGTCATGTTAACTATCCTTTTATAATTTTCCCCTGATCGAGGTAGTCATTTCTTTTGTGTAGTTAACCCCTTTGATAGTTTTGGGAATGCAGTCGTTCATCACAGAGAATGAAAGCAGAAATGGTCAATAGCAGAAAAATTTGATTATCTGGGGGAGAGAAATGGATATAAAATGTGTAGTTAATTGTTAGACAGTTGTATTTGAATTGTAAAACATTTGCATAAGTTTGAAGAAAATCTGTTATATGACTTTGTACAGTGTTTTGAAATATTTGTATGTTTGGATATTTTTTAAAGTTGATGCTGCAGACAGTGATGAACATGACCCCCGGGATGAGGAGCCTCAATCTAAAAGACAGAAGACAGATGGTATAGCTCTAGCCAGTAGTAACGTCAATGTCAACAATAACATCAATCACGACCAGTCCATAAAGGTATTTATTGTTGATCTGTGTTCACCACAGCAGTTTCAGAGATTTTAAAACAATTATCCTCACTTGAGCAATACTCTTTGTTTGATCATCAAGCATATCTCTAGTTTAGACCACCTGTTCAAAATTCAACATCTGATCAAAGTTGGCAAATGACAATCAAAATAATTAACCTGGAGAGGATCATTTTTAAAACCATTTCCATGGAGATGCTCAATTTAAATATACATTATCAGAGCTTTGTCACACTGAACAAACAAATGTTATTTTCATATTTCAGCAACTACTCTTCACAATAAATAAGGCAATATGTATGAGGCTTGATGGGATTGAAAACAGCATAGAAATCTTGAACGGCCGTACAAAGTACTTAGAAGAGAAAGTGGAAGAGCTGATTCAGACATCTAAACAAAATAATGGTGTTTTATCAAACAGTACCCTGGTATCTCCAAACAACAATAGGAAGGGGTATGTCTTGTGCATTGTTTCCATTTATCATCTGCTTGTAGTATTCATTCTTGTCATTTATACCTTTTGTTATTTACACCTTTAGAAAACCTAGTAAAGCATTTTTCTCCAGGCCTTCAATCAAAATCTAGATTTTAAAGGACATAGGACACAGTCTTTTGTAATTTATTATTTTCTGGTAATATGTCACAATGGTAGCTGTACTTCACAAAACATGCCCTCCCAATGCCTATGTGACTGACTTACCAGATAAGCCATTGATAATTGACTCTTCTGATTTGCATATTTGATGGGCGATAATAAGGCTGATGGACTGGTGGTGATAGTGGTGATAGTGGTGATCGTGGATGTGCGGCCATTATAACGCCAGTACATACGGCCATGGCTCAGCCAAAACACATGTTTAATTCCATATATTTTTCAAGCATTAAATGGATTTTTTATTCATCACTAAATCAGTAAGATCAATTCTTATGATATATGTAGACAAAAAGAGGCAAAAAGCTGAAACACTTGTTACATGATATCTACGATTGTTAGTATTTGAAGTTATTTCATAACAAATTCAATTGAACTGGTTATGAACAGCTGATCAGATATAATATCTCATTATTGATGGGAAAATATGTGATGTAGAATGTATCAAATACCAGAGAACATGCTGATTAGTTTCACATATTCTACCAGTTTAAAATTGTACAAATAGCTAATATTTCATATAACTAGACTAAGCAAATAATTGTAGGATGAATGTACTTTTTCTTAAACTTGAATTGTTAACTACATCTATTTTTTACATAGGTAGCATGAAATAAATATTTGTTAAGATGCACATCTGTACATAATGTACCATATTTTCCTGACTGTAAACTGTACCCTAGTATAAGCCACAGGGCTGGGTTTAAGTGCTAAATCTAAACTTTCCGAAAAGGTTACCAGGCCACAAAGCACAAAATATTGACTGCTCCACATTAAATCGTTAAACAGTATATACCATAGTGTCTTTCCTTGAAAATATTCAAGGAATATTTCACAAGGCTTTCACAAGAAAATGCTGAAGTAACAGACAAGTTGTGTGTTCTTTCAAGAAAATAACGTTAGTATTTAAGTACATCTTAGATTTGCATGTGTTTCTTAATTAGCTATTTGGAACCTATCCGATTTGAAATTTGTAAAGAGGCAAATGAGCCTGTGAAGTTGCAAAATGTATAGTGATTATGATGATATGTCTTTGGTAGCTAAGGTTCCAAAACTTTGTACATGTATATAGTAATACATGTCAAGCACATGTTGATTTTGTTAGTTCACACGACTCTTTTTACTTATATATGTAATAAAAACGTAGCAAATATAAAGGATTATAATTAAATTAAGACCACTCTTACACACGGAATATAAAAATTCCATAGAAGTTAAAATTTTCCCATGGACTTGGATATATATCTAAATACATGATTTTCCCAAACATGTTTATTGACGACTGCCCAGGTCAGTGGTATCAGATACCTGTAGTTACTAACTATATCACATACCTGAGATATATATTAAGGATGTATGAAACTCTTGTTTGACTGGAAGTATGGCATAATTTTTATATATCAATTCCAATAATATATTGTAGATTTTTTCATTTCAATATATTATGTGACCAACATGTGAACTTTTCTGCCAAAAAGTGTAACAGTTAATATAACATTCTGTAGATTTTTCCTGGTTGTTTTTTTATTGTCAGGATACTTTTCTTGAGTTCAGCAAAAGTTTGTATGAATTATCAACAAAAATCACATTTGAAGTACCATAAATTTGCGCATATAGCGCACACTTTTTTAGGCAAAATCTGTCGTGTCAAAAACGGGTGCATACTATATGCAGGAACATGCCATTTTAGGGGTTATCATTCTCGTGTTCTCTGTCCGCCACATTGGACTACCTCACTTCACATAATTATATTCAGAGTTGTCGGTCATACATGATGAATTGAAGATAAAAACAACAAAGAATTATATAGATTTTGAATGTTTTATTGCAGTTCCTTATTTTAACTATATATAAAAAAACAACTGATGACCGATAGATACATAAAGCACTAAGTAGGAAATGATTCAATAGCACTGAAGTTACTTTATAATAAACACAGTCACCGATCACTTTCAATACTATGTGCTAAACAGTCACTGAAATCCTTCAAATTCCTCCTCATCTTTGTCACTGTTAAAGAAGAATGCTGGATTGAAGTCTGCATCAGATTTTTTTTGTTCTCGTGGTAAAGCAGGTTGTAATCATCCTCGTAATTAAACGACAGGTCTACTATTAGCCCATCCCGTCAATGCTTTGAAGTCAATGACCTTATGACCTCTGTGGATCTGCATGGCCTGCACATGCAGTTCTGTTGTACTGACAGTAATGCTGGCATATCAGCATCGCAAACTAAATTATATAGCTCTCTCTCTCCATGTTGAAGTTGATGTATGCAACCTATCATTAAGTACATTTTGATACCCCAGTGGGTACAGATTCCATGAAAGATCATACCAGTACTGAACATATAACCTGCTATTATGGGGACAAGGTAGGATTGAACATTTTCAGACTGTTAAAACAACTTCGTTTTCTGACCAATAACATGCATTTAGCCCAAGTCGTATGTCATCAATCACCTCATACTCAACGTGATACATGTTAATAACTGTTACTTATCCAAATAGCCTAGCCTTCCATGCTTGTTAAGTCGGGCACCTGTGAATTTGTTAACATAAGATAATGAAATGTGTTAGGTTCACGCTCATTGTGGTTTCCTTATTATCGATGGATCAAATTATCATCAGTTGCACTGCGGTAACCAGTGATGAATATTTATATTTCCTGTTTTGTTTTTTTTTTTTTAAATCTGACCCCAAATAGATACTTGCACACTGTACCTAAGTGCGCACTATAGCTGCAAATTTATGGTATGTAAATGATGACTTATTGAACCACTTTTCTTGAATTTTAGGACCCATATATAATGTTAAAACATTTCTGTTCTTTGAAAATCCCAAAAAGTAAGCACAGTGACACCTTCTCTTTTTATTATGAAAACTATTCACAAATATATTTTCTATCAAAGATTTAAATCTTGAAAAAGTTGAATTTTAGAACAATGTGTTTTAAAGAAAGTTCAAAATTGTGCACACTGTTTCTTTTAAAAGTCTCCCCAACCTTTATGTTGCTATAAGTCCATATGGCCATCTCATAACCTTTTGCTGAAGGCTATGTCATGATGTGGGCTTATTACAGGACAACGAAAAAGCATTTATTGTCAAATTGACTGACTAATATGAACAATTGTAGCTGTAATAGATGTGATCATAAATTGAATATTTCAGAGCCGTGATTGTTGGACTGCCTCAGGGAAGCAATAAAGTCGATAATACAGGTAAATACAATTTTACAAGGTGATTTAAAGAGATAACTAGAAAAATGAAATATGCCTGCAATATATCTGCAGATACATGAAATCTGGGATGTGGGGGGAGGAAAGGAGGCATGGCATATAATGTTGCCCTTTTCCTGTCCCATTCTGTCCTGATTCCTTGTAAGCACCAAACAACTTTATGGAATTAGGTCAAATCAAGTATGAATATACTTCAAACATCGTTGTGTTTCATGGGTCAAAGGTAAAGGCCCTTGCTTTATATGAAAAATCATCAGTGGCTTAATTCTTTCATGGATTTTGGACAAACTTTATACAGAGATAAATTATTGGTATACATCAGACTTGTGTCACAAGGAACCCTTCATTACATTGATAGTATAGATACTGATTTGGTGTTAAATGAGACTTGTGTCACAAGGAACCCCTCACTCAGTGATAGTATAGATACTGTCACAATGAACCCCTCACTACAATGATACTATAGATACTGATATGATGTTAAATGAGACTTGTGTCACAAGGAACCCCTCACTCAGTGATAGTATAGATACTGACTTGGTGTTAAATGAGACTTGTCACAAGGAATCCTTCACTACAATGATAATATAGATACTGACTTGGTGTTAAATGAGACTTGTGTCACAAGGAACCCCTCACTCAGTGATAGTATAGATACTGACTTGGTGTTAAATGAGACTTGTGTCACAAGGAACCCCTCACTCAGTGATAGTATAGATACTGACTTGGTGTTAAATGAGACTTGTGTCACAAGGAACCCTTCACTCAGTGATAGTATAGATACTAACTTACTTATATCCTTTTCATTTGCTATGATATAATTAATTTACATCATATTTTCTTTCATGATCAACAGGAAATGCCTTTATCAAAACTGATGATGTCATTGCACTTCACACACTCAGATTTTAGACAAGTATTCAGTGCTTGGCACTGTACAATACTGTTGTAGATCTTGATTATATACACCCCTCAATTTTCTATACTTCAGTTTGTAAGAAATTTCGAGATAACTATTGACAGAGTTACTGCAAGTTAAACAGTGAAAGGAAAACAGGGAAATATGTGAGGCATGAAACAACATTGAAATATAAGTATTACAAAATCTATAAGGATATGTTATGATGGTTTTGAAATACTTTGTAGACAAGTGAGGTTTAATGACCTTATTTACTGACCAGCTGGACTGGACAGGTCAAACTTTTGTCAACAGTAAAAGCAATAAATATGTGCATGGTTACTTGTAAGTTTGTGCCCATAACACTACAAGTTGTTAATTGGTTTTTCTCTCAGAAGTAACTTGCTTTGTGTAACAATTATAGCCTTTACCTGATATCTGTAACATCTGTGCCACACAAAGAAACTTCAAATAACAGATTCTGTAGTGGTACCATCCCCAGGAACATCACAAATAATCACTGGATGTAGTAAATGGGGCTATCACAGATGCCATTTTCACACTCATTAGACATACAATCTTATCTTCAGGAGTGTCAATAATCAGAAATCCTCTTTCAACTTCTGTACAAATTAATAAATCCTTTATTTCCTATCCATCTAACAAGTTCTCACTTTCAGCAGAACTATCAAATCATTGATAGCTTTTCAAACTCATTGTTACTCTAATGGGTAGCAATGACTGCCATCTTCTAGGTATTTCTGATGTAAACATGAAAGTTATAAAAATCAGATAGAGGTCTCATTCAGAAAAGAAACAAGATTAGCCAGTCAAAATAAATGTTCAACTTTTGTCCAGATCATTTCTTAATTTAGGAAAGAGAATTTCAGTGTTAATTCTGTAGTCCAATTGTTGGTAATGTGTAAATCATGTATAATTATGTTGTTGGCAGTGTATAAGTTTATTATAGAAGTCCTACATATAGGCTTGGTGGGATGATAGCGCAATGACAGACATATGAAGTAATCTCCCTTTATCTATGGTATATTTTGTATAGCATCCACTCACCTATGTTATACTTTTATATTGAAATGTTACTTTCAGGCCCTGGTGTAAACAATGGTGATGGTATACAGAACATGGGACTTGGACCAAATGTAACTCTTATAACCCTTAACTCTGAAGGTAATGTTACTGTTGTTTTTATTTACTTCTACATATGCTGTGACAAAGAAACAGGTAGAAAAAATGATGTCACTTTTGCATTATTGCCCAAATCAATATTAAGATATTTCAGTTAATTTTAAAATTTTGTACTTACATGTGCTTCGATCAACATCTTTATTGTGAACTAGTATCTTCATCAGGGAAAAAATTAGAATCTGCTTCATAATCATCATGCTTTGTTATCTGATAGCAAGATTATGTAAAGTTATTGAAACAGAAGATAAAATCACTGGGAAAATCTCATCAGTCTGATAATTGTTTATACATTGATTATATTTAAGTACAAAATGAATAACAGAACAAATGAAATATAAATGAACATTATAATTTGCTGTATGCAGAGGATTATCCACAAGGTACATGGTTAGGAGATGAGAACAATCCAGAAATGAGAGTAAGAGTGCCAATAACACCAAGGTAAAGATCGATCGTATTTTAATAATAAATTCTGCTTTTAAAACAGTTTTCCAGTATCTTTTATATCTGACAGATTCATTGTTTACTAGATTTAAACTGTGGTAAACAAGGCTTCCATTTTAACATTTTATTTCCTTATCAATCTTTTCAACAATTTAAAGTTTCTACTTGATATTTTTTTGAGTTAATATTTGGTTTTATATTTTCTAAAATGCCTTGTTTCATGAATAGAGTTTTTTCCAGCAAAAAAAAATTTTTCTTGATATTGCCAAATCATGGAGTTCTGTTGTTTTTCAGTGACCTTCTTCATGTACATTCGAACTGCCGAACAGCAGAAAAAATGGCATTGACCATGCTTGATTACCTATTTGATAGAGAAACACAAGCATCCTCTAATCTGTCTGGCATGGGCAAACATGGCAAAAGACAACTAGATCCTCTTATGATCTATGGTATCAGATGTAAGCATAACTAAAAGAAGACTTATTATTGTAGTCACGCTTACATGTTAAACAATGATCTGAAGCTCACCTGTTCCAGAAGCAAAATGCACAAGTATTTCTTGGAGTGATGTGCATCACCTTAACTGATCTTTCTAGATACTACATGTTTAGAATTGCCAATAGGGTTTTGATTAAATATTCTTAATAAAAAAAAGTATTAAATGTGTAAAAATATTTCTGAGTTCTGGTAAAGAAATAAAATTCTGTTCTACTTTATCAGTGCAGATCAAGAGATTTCAGCTTTGTTTGGCTTCAGCATTCTTTTGTCAAAGATGTTTACTCTTGGGTACCTTGCATGAGAGGCAATTCATAGATACTTCTTAAAATCTTAAAAATCCTGCTTCCTTCTTTAAAAGAATGATACTTCTGAATTTGCAATAAAATAAGCAATATTTGGATTAGTTATTGTAGTAATGAACCTCTATCTACTTCATTGTTTACAGGTCATCTTATACATAGATTTGGTATCAATGAAGCAGACTGGCATCGTATTAAACAAAATGTAGACTCTAAATGTAGAACAGCATTTCGTCGGAAACAAAAAGGAATGCCACTTACGGTGAAGGCATTCCGTGGAAAATCTACCCCTACCTATATACAAGTTGGACAGGATGAAATGGGCAGTGACGAGGACTCGCTGCAGGATGCAGAACTACATATACACCAGGTACTGTTGGTATCACTGCTTGCTTATTGGTTTGATATTTTTACTAAGATCATGTACACAGTGGTGTGTTGTAATTGGTATCTAGTATTGGATTATATTAATACTATTTTTACAACCACACAGTGTGGTGAGTGAACAGTTTGAATAGTCTTCTTTGTGTTTTATTGACATGCATTTTAAATGTTGTTGCTATAAAGAAGTCAAGTCCAAATTAGTGTAATGGTGACCAATATTGACTGCATATTTTATTATATTTAGAAACGTTAATTAAAGGATGCTTTAAAGGTTATGTTTTTACAGAAGCCTTACATTCTTATGTTATGAAAGAAAACTTTTGCATAATTGAAAAAGAAAGTGTTCTGTAAAAAAGTGTAAACATCTGTCTGATTGTACTTTATTTATACAGGGACAGTTGGATTTAAAACAAACTATGGCTGCCATGCAGACAGAGGGCTTACCGCCAGGAGAGATTCAGATACTGCATGCCACCCCTGAACAGATATCTCAACTACAACAGGCTCACCATATACAAATACTACAGGGTGACCAAGTTATCCAAGTCCCTATGCCTGTAAGTGTCATATTCTCTGATTTAGTAGTTTTACATGTGGACCCTCCACACAGGCAGTTGCCAGTGAATTGATCTCATATAGGTGGTATGGTGTCTTTGCTTTTAATTTTGGATGAAATGACACAAAGTGCTATAAAAATTCAATAGTGAACACTTACATTTCTCAGCACAGCAGACATGCAGGCATTCACACAGACAGAAGATTGCTAGCTATGTTAAAGCACCCTATTTGAAAATCAATAATATTGTTTTCCTCAAATTGGGACAAAAACATCAATATTTTTACAAAAATCAAAACATCCTGTGACACATTTGGAAAGCTCTTGAAATGTTTGAATAAAAATTCTGACTGGGAAAATTTCTATCAGATTTGGGAACTGCCCAGTAAATTTGTAGTTATTGTATTCTATGACCAAGTCCTTATGGACACCTTTTAATCTTCTTGACTGGTAGAGGATGATAAAAAATACTTCTATATTTTCAAGTTGTATACTTTAGTACTTAAAGAAAAGAAGTGCCTTACATTGGCTTGATATCTATTGTATCTAGATAGATACTTGAAACATACATAGCGCAGTAAAAATTTAACGCAAACAAGGAAAAGTGTGAAGTATGATTTATTAGCATAGATACACGATCAGTGGTGTTTGATGAAAAAAAATTGAACAATTCCAAGATATTTTGTTTCCTAAATCATTAAATTTGATGATAGATTGTAGTAATATGGTATGAATGTATATCATCTTTTACATGTGTTCAAATATTCACACCTCTTATGGAGAAAAGTTTAGTACTGGTATTGATGAGTGGTTGAAATACATTTAAATATCCACTGATGTAAACCTTGTCGCATTACTGTATACGGACAGACAGACATACAGATATACCAAATTTTAATTCTTAGATCACCTAAGACCTGTTAACCTTGGCTGACCCTCAGGGGCTGTTAGGCAGAGCCAAAAAAAGGTCAAATTGACTGAATGTTCAAAGATGTTCTACTGTTCATTAATGTAAGATTTTATAAAGGAAATGTCAATTTTTGAGTTTAAGTTCGTTAAATTCAAGCTTTGTTATAAGCCTTAGCATGTCACAACAGTTAATGTTATGCATAGATTACATTTGCATTATGTGTACAATATAGCTAATGTTAGCTTTCTTCTTTTAACAAAATCATTTCAATGACATGTTACTAGAAGCATTGTAACTCAGGTGACCATTAAGACCCTTGGGCCTTCTGTAAAATTTAGTGCTGTACATGAATAGGCACTGCACACACAACACGAAAATTAAAGTCCTGCTAAAATAAGTATGTCTCCAGTTTGCATTCATATCTTGGGATAATAAGAATCCTTGATTTAAATAATAGTGCAATCAAAATTTAGAGCAAGGATTAAGTGAAAAATAGTTATGTTTGCTCTTTTCTGATTTTGTATTGATTAAATCAATTTTTTGTATTGGTTAAAATTAAATATGTTTCAAAAATTTCAAATGAACGGAAGAGTTGTTTAGAATATCATTATCATTTTTAATGAAGTGTTTTATACATACCATGTTAATCACATTCTTGCCATATGTTGTAAGTGTTAGCATCAAGATAATTGTTCAAGTTAATTGGCTAAATCCTCACATATTTATTATATTACAGATGAACCCATCAGATGATGGGCTCCAGGTGGCAGTGTCATTGCCTCAGTCAGATAGTGTGCGGGTCGCAACAGTGACGACAGACGATGGTGAAGTTGTACAACTTGCTCAGGTTGATCCTGTAGTGGCTGACCAAACAAGCTGAAACAATCACCGATAAATACACTTGACTTTTACCATAGTGCTTGTTGTATTTCTCTCTGTTAGTCATCATGTAAAATGACTGTGCCTGGAAGAATGTTTCAGAAATCGCCCATCACCATCACTTGCATAGAATGGGAATGCACATATAAGTATAAAAATATATAGATAATTTATGAATTACTTGAATTTGAGTATCTTTTGTTGTTACTGAATATCATGGCATTTATAGTATTAGCTTGTGAAATCAGTAAGAAACAATTTTTATTTGATTTATGAAATACATATTCATAACAAACATGCTGTCTTAGTACAGACCTTCAAATTTCATGTCAAAAAAACAAATTTAACATTGAGTGAATTTGTATATCCAAGATTCAATAACATGTTACCAGAAATATCAAAATGTTTCAGGTAATACTTGCATCATCTTTGAAAAAAGACAATAATTAGAGAAACTTCATTAAAAAAAGATAAAAAATTCAATACAATTTGTATAATAATTCTTAACAAGAATTTTACATTTTTATATAAACCACAGACTTATATAGAAGTCTGTAAATATACAGACATGATTGTGCTCCTACAAAGCTCAATAAACATGTGAAAACAACATGTCTTTGCATGATGTTTTATTTATGACAATGTATGTAATACATCACCAAGTCTGTGATGTTGGCAGTCTAAATAAAGGTTTCTGTTTGATACCTCAACTTTTCTTTGGATTATAACACTCCAAATGTCTTGTACAACTTCCTCACTCAAAGCAACAAAAAACCACACCCATTAAGAGCTCTCAGTTGATAACTGCTAAAGGGATAGTTTGGTTTTTCATTTTTCATGCAACTTTCACTAGATTCTATCAATTACCTCTTGAAGTTTGATTTCAATGCATTCTGCAGTTTAATATGGACACAACAATGTGTATTTAAATTATAGAGTTCTTCAGTCTGCTGAAACCAATTTCTCAAAACTGCTGGCTATAACATGATCACTACAATCACTCCATATCTGGATAATCTCATGACCAATCAACTGTATATAACCAGATAATTATTCATGAAAATATGGTGATCTTCCATCACCTGAAAAATTTATAAAGGATGAAACATTTTGCATTTTATCTGAATCATTTTCTTTGAAATTAATTTCATCTGGGCATGTCGGATTAGGAGCAGACGAGCATGCCTCACGATTTTCTCTGCTTGAAGTATGGTGTCATATATTCACAGTTTCTTCATGAAAAAGTTTGGTTTGATTCATCTGAACAGCTCCCACATGAACATGCTGCTGGATGTGCTGAACCACTCCAGAAAGAAATAAGTGAACAACAGGAGCTATTTCCACATGAACAGGTCGCATAATTTTCACAGCTGCAAAAACTGTTTGCACAAGAACATTGCACAAAATGAGATGAATTACATGAACAACAGTTGTGCGACCCACACGAGCTGTTTGCACAAGAGCATGACACACAATTTGGTGAACAAGAATTGTGCGACCCACATGAGCTATTTGCACAAGAACATTGCACAAAACGCGATGAACAAGAATTGTGTGACCCACATGAACTATTTCCACATGAGCATGACGCATAATTTGATGAACAAGAATTATATGATCCACACGAGCTATTTCCACAAGAGCATGACACATAATGCCCTTGGCTGCATGAACAAGAAATGTGCGATCCACACGATCTGTTGCAATGTAAACATTGCACATAATTTCCTGAACAAACTTGATTTGAGTCAATTGGATTTTCCCTACATGAGCAAGGAACATGATATCCTAAGTTACACGAGTACTTTCGATGCGAGCAGCCATTTGACTCGTTTTTGGTGGAAGATTTCCTGTTTGCATTACATTTCGACCTAGCTCCGTTTTTCGCTTCTCTGTGCACAAAAGAGTTGCTGTTCAGTTTACCTGTCTGATAATTCCTTGATTTTTGCTGACATTTTGGACAAGTAGATAAAAGCCACTTTTCGTATGCTTTTGCTAATCTGGAAAGTCTGTTGATATCGGGATAGTCATAATCATAGTCACTTTCCACGTCGGATTGAGGCTTAAAGTCAGTTTCTCTTGATGTCCGATTTGTTTCTTTGGTAGGGTCGTCCAACTGTTCGTAAATGGGTGTATTGTTCTGTCCAGTAGGCGTTTCTGGCGTGTACAGTTCAGTCATTTCGGCGTATATAGGGAAGTTGCAACAAAATGCATAATCATAATCGTAATCCTCGCTTTTATTTGACACTTTACCAAGAAAATCTCTTTTACTTGATTGATTGGTCTCTGTTGATGATACTGGTAGCTTTAAATCTGTATGTGGTACATCCATGTACAGTCGATAAAGTCGAGGGGGGAGCGGAGGCCCTTTTTCGTTATTGTTATCGGTCCGCCTCCCACGACGAGGTTTTGGTATAGGCATTTGCTCCATTTTGGAAGTTATGGTAGTAGTGTCACCGTCACCACATCCTGTGTTTTTGCCAAAATCGGAGGGAATCTTCTTCTTACTTTGCCCGTTGGTAGATGATACATCTTGGATTGTTTTTTCAAGAGAAAAATGTAAAACATGATTATCCGGCAGATCGTCTGAGTAAGTGACACGCTTCTGTTTTACTGGAAGATTCGGTGGTGGATTATCTTCACCATTAGTGGATAAAAGACTATCCAAAGACCACACCTCTGACTCTGCATTGGCCCCTGAAGGAATCGGTGTCTGACGACAAAGATTTTGCTTTAGAATTCGCTCCACATGCGTAGTTGCAAATTCCGTTCTTTTGTCAGTATCAGTAGACCGCGCCATACTTTGTACAATGGTTGATATTTCATCTTGACTTCTTGTCTGATGGTTTAAATGGATAACGTGATTATCTGGCAGATCTTCTAAGTGAGAGATACGTTTAAGTTTTAAAGGCAGTTTCGGTGGCAAATTTTCTTCAATAATTGGCGATAAAATGTGATTTGAAGACCACATCTCTGATATTTTGTTCGCGCTAGAATAAGGTGTGTGTTTGTTTGGAGGAGATACATCTATAGGAACGTTGTCGCATTCGCATCCACAGCTTAGTCTATCATGTTCTACAACCGGTTCTTGGGGTTTTACATGTGGCTTGGAATCGACGTTCAGAGAAGCAGATTGCGTGGCTTCTTGCAGTCGCCATTTGGGGCGGGGTACACTGTTTGGGAGACATTTCCGTTTGATTCCCATATGTCTAACACTTGTTGAATTGATATATAGAGGATTATCAAAACCTAGAGTGTAACCTCTAACTCCATGTCGATAATTTCGTTGCATTCTCACGTTACAAGGTACATACGACTTTCTATCGTTAGTAGAAGATTCCTTAGTTGTAACAAAGCTTCCAACATCAGGCACCTGTTGAGTTTGAATAAACGACCATTCTTGGCATTTAATTGGCACAGGATTTAATCGGATAGCAATGTTCTCTTCAATATAGCATTTTGGTTGTGATTCTTCTATTCTACAACCTGTGTTATTTGTTCCAGCTGTTTTCTTTTGTCGCGGTAACGGTACCGGAGGATGTTGACATCTAGTTTTTGAAATGAATGGAATACCGGAAGCTAGTCTTTGTGGAGGTGGTAGCAATTGATCTGTATCAAAGACGACTTCAGTATCTTGTTGAGTATCGAATTCACTTGTGCAAAACAAGTTTGGTTTTGGCATTATTGAATTCACATTGTCATAAAAAACAGCATATCTTTTTTCGGTTCCCAGTTCTACTTTTGTTTTTTGAATAGAATTTTCTTGCGCGTGCCAAGCAAAGGAAATATTTGAATTTTGGTGAAGTGGATTCATGCTCCTGGTATCAGCTACTGAATTTGATTCAGCAGTATTTTCTTCCGCTATTGTGCTGTCAACGTCCTGTATATGATCTTCCGAAATGGTCGACTGCGTTTTACATGCCACGGTAGTGTTTTTATCGGCAACAGTTTCTCCTGTTATCGGCTGGGATGAATTCAAAGGTAAAACTAATGGCCAGTTAACATACTGGTTCTCTGTTTTTTGGTTTGATTTCAATGTTTCTTCTAGACATTCTATCTCGCATAGTAATCCGTTTTCAGCCATAGTGCCCGTTGTTTGATGATATTTGCCTATCTTTTGTTCCGAGAATTTTTCTAAGCCCGAATCCTCTGTCGGCTTATCAGAAGTTATTAATTTATGGACATCTTTATGTTTTAATGACTTTGTTAGACGCTTTACAACAGTTTCGGTAATATCATAATCCGCAGTGATTTCATTTAGAGATTGAATTTCCGGTACACTACTTTTTCCGATTGCCGCCATTTCCCCCGCGCAAGAAGAATTGTCCAATTTGTTTAACAGGGGTCCTTTTGCTGCAATAGTCCGATTATCAACACAATCCTCGTCTACCTTCCCCGCAATTTCTGGTGGTAGAGGCCAATTTACATACGTCGCGGATTTCGCGTATAGTCTCCTCTTAGTGGCAGAAAATTCAGTTGTGTTCTCCTCTTGATGTAATTTCGAGTCTTCGGGACAGCAATATTTTGTCTCGAGAGTCGAGATATGCTTCCCTTCGATTCCAGCTTCTGATAAAGTATCACTAACGGTGTCCGCTCTGTTTGTTACAGACAATTCCGAATATTTCGTTGCTGTAAACGATTTATCTGTTACTGTTGAACTACAAGTAGATCTTGGTTTATATAATGGCTTCGATTTTTTTATTGCAAAGTTCACGTCATTATTTGAATAGGATTTTAATAGTGGATCTTCTGCTGTTGCATTAAACTTCCCTTCCGTTAGATTAATATTATTCGGAGTTTTGACTTGTGGCAGTTTCCATTTGTCTTGTTTAGTTGTTTTGCTTTGTTCAATAGAGCATGTTAAACTCGGCTCCGTTTGGTTTGTTGTCTTCTCACTTTCTATCATAGACGATTTCGCGCTTTTTTGTACACAACACATCATGTTCCTTGGTCTTCTAGGTTTCGGTGATGGTATTGGCCTCGGTTTCTTTTGTGTCAATTCTTTCATAAGTTTGTCACACATGCTTTTTAATAGGTTAGAAAACTCTGGGATTTGTCCATGTCCACCTTTGTCTTCTTCAGTAGTTTCTGCTGGCGGACGTGCACACTTTGATTCTGTTAGGCATAATGTCAAATTCTTTTCTTGATTATTAGTCGCATTAGAACTGGGGTTTAGAGAATATTTTGAAAACATGTCTGTCACTTAATTGTTCCTCGTTATTTCATCAGCACAATGTCGGCTTTGTGAAAGCTGAACATGCACTCTGCTGAAAGTTTTGGCTTTGGCGCTAGTACGAGGGGCTTTTCCATTCCCATAAAAGTCATCTTCAAAAATACAATTCCTTCTTGAGAATGGTTTTTAATAGATATATGATGATACGTAATTTCAAAGTTCGGGTATGGAACTTACTTGCCGGAGGAGGTCAATTATTATATCACAACTTGAATGCTGATTTCGGGGGCAGAATTTTTTTTATCATCGTGATCATTAATGGTATCACATTGTAATGTTGGATGTTGTAGATGTCCCTGTGTCTGATTCCCTGCGGGTCATAACACTTTGTAGTGATATCACAATGTAATGTTGGATGCTGTAGATGTCCCTATGTCTGATTCCCTGCGGTCATAACACTTTGTAGGCAACGTGGGTTAGGTTTTTTCAATCTCTGCTAGAAACTTTTTTTTCTTGAAATGTTGATGTCAACTTCAAATGTTGGACGATTAGTCAAACCTTACATCTGATCCTGAGAATTTTTGTAAGGGCCTATTTGTATAGGATTGCATCTGAATGGACGAACGTTGCATATATTACGATTTGGCAGTTTCCAGCCGACCTGTTTCTCCTCCTTCCATCAATCATCACATTGTGAATGCTGCGTCCAAACAATCGCTAAAATTAAAAAAAAAAAAAAAAAAAAGAGTCAGATTATATCAGATGTACAAATTGGACAGAGTTACAAATGTCATTACACGGGCAAATGTCTGTGAAAAAAATGAAAATACACAAAAATCAAATGACTGTTACCTAATGGGTCCTAAAGGGATTAGGTACAACATGAATCGGGGTTCATGGGTGTGTGTGTGGGGGGGGGGGGGGGCCAGTTGTACTAAACACTCATGTTTAAATGGGTTTGTGAAATTCAATGAGACGTACTTCAAACATAGGCCTATGATGATTACATACACTTTTTCAGCGTGCATCCGGTTACATTCACTTCATTCGTCGTATCTTTATTTTTTTAACAAAAAAAAATAAGTCGAATGGGATAAATTTTCAATTCCCGGAAACTTTTTCTATATTAAGACTAGTATACATAGGTAATAAATTTAATTATATAAAAATGGACATCACCTTTCAAAACAAAATTGGAGTTAAACACCGGATACCCATATTATACAATGTCAGAAGCTATGGAGTTTATTAACGTTTTACTTGCCAACAGCCATACTGTCTAACAAATTTATCGTCCCACTCCCATGATTCATGATTTTACTACACTTCAAATAAAAAGGATTTTAAAAAATCATAAAAAATAATACCAGTACTAATTGTTACCCGACAGCTTTCATATGTGTTTCACGACACTACATCGCTGTATATCGAGACAGTACATCTGTGTTTCACGACACTACATCGCTGTATATCGAGACAGTACATCTGTGTTTCACGACACTACATCGCTGTATATCGAGACAGTACATCTGTGTTTCACGACACTACATTGCTGTATATCGAGACAGTACATCTGTGTTTCACGGCACTACATCGCTGTATATCGAGACAGTACAACTGTGTTTCACGACACTACATCGCTGTATATCGAGACAGTACATCTGTGTTTCACGACACTACATCGCTGTATATCGAGACAGTACATCTGTGTTTCACGACACTACATCGCTGTATATCGAGACAGTATATCTGTTTCATGACTGTATATCTTTGTATTTCAGAGTGCATTGAGTGCGTCCACACAAATCCTCTTACCCAATGGTACTAAACACGCATGTTTAAACGGGTTTGTGAAATTCAATGAGACCTACGTCAAATAGTGCCTATGATGATTACATACACTTTTCCGGCGTGCATCCGGTTACATTCAATTATAAGATCCGTCGTTGAATGTTTCGTTACCGAGAAATTGCGACTTTTCTGAAAAACACACCTTTGGCTGAGAGGCGTTGACCTCGTTTTCGGGCACCCAAACCTGTGACGTCATAAGTTCAACGCTTTTGTTGATGCAGCCATATTGTCAATACTGTGCTACATGTGATTGTGATCTATTTTGGGATTTTCCGTGGTAATTTCTTTGTTTATTTACGTGAAAATACTTCACATCTTCGCAATATCTAAGGTAGTGAACGAGGGGTCGGTGAATTATCGCTTAAATCCGCTAAAATGGCTTCCTATCGAGGAGGGAAGCGGTGTGTATGGTTGTCCTAACACTAACACAGATGGGGTGTCGATGCATGACGTCGATAAATAAAACTGATTGTTGATTAAATAAAAGTATATTTGTTAGGTTGATATTTTGTTATTAATTCTACAACTAAACATTTTAAATTGATAGGCTAGCCTATGACTTGGGCGGTCATAGGAATATTATTCCTT